CTGATCATTTATGTATACATTTGTCTATATCTATCTCGATTCGTTTTGCCTGTTACAAACAACCGTTATGTGAACAAAGTTATAATACCCTTGTGCACAAGTGCGCTCGGGTATAAAAACAGAAATTAGTTAGTTTATTTCTTAGTTTATTTTTAGCAGGAATTTTTCCAAAGGACCATAAATTATAATATATTTCCAGAAGTTCACACAAAATACGGAAATATGGGTAACAATTAGAAGAAAAATTCAAAACGAGATTCATTATAACTTTTTTTTTTTCAACTATCCTTTTGGATCATTAGGGCACATTTTTCTTTAATTGGACTTTAATTTCACAATTGCTTATGTCGCCAAATTCTACACCCGAGCCTTTACTTTTGCTCGAGGAGTATGTATAAAATTCCCACTAGGTTGCTTACACTGTGCGTCAGTTTTATGACAATTCAAACTGGTCTGGATTTTGCTAATATTTTCTGGAAGTTTTGAAAAAAATGGAAAAAATTGTTAAAATAAATGTCTGAGTGAAAATAGTGGTTAAGACCTAGTATATAGGAAAATTTCATGGGAAATATTTTCCAGCCTGAAAAGTTCGTTTTGACCCTTACTTCAAGAAAACCCGCAAAAAGCAAACTTGGAAGTTCGTTAGAGGAATATATGATATATTCTAGAAAATTATTCTTCGGAAAATTTTACTAGGGGTCTTCTCAGGCAAAAGCTTCATGCCACCAACGTAAAAGTCTCTAAAAAAATTAAAATAAAAAATCAACAAAAAAACTGTTTTTTTTTTAGTTTAAGGTGATTTGGGCCACATGAGCATTGCGGGGTGACACTTTTTGTACAAATTAATTAAAACATCATAATATGGGTATCAAATGGAAGGTATTTTAATGATCCCTAATTAAAAATATTTTTAATAGGGTTGCCACCTATTTTGAATCGCATATTTATTTAATTTTTTGTTTAGAAAAAAGGGTAAAATATGACTATTCAAATGAGGTATTGTTGAAAACTTTGTCCAGAAAATATTTTACATCAGGGTTGCCACTCTTCTATGTATAAAAGATTTGTATTTTTTTAATTTCGATCAGCATTTTTTTATACACAGTACATATACGCTCAAGATATGTACCATTCATTCCAGCGTATCTCGGAATTGGGTTGCCACCTAAATTTTGGAGTCAAAAATTTATTTAATAGATATCGAAATCCAATTTATTTTTTTCCCCAAAATATGTTTTTAAAGCTATCCAAATCTTTAAAACTTCAAAAAATATATGCACTCCGAGCAAAGCTCGGTCAACCTGGTATTAAATATTTTTAATTAATTCAATCTAAAACACTTCAAAAAAAATATTTTTTTTTTATAAATCCCATTTCAATTTAGTAGACCATTAGTATATTTCTAGAACATTAATCTGACGTGGCAGCCTCAAATCGGCTTAAGAAATCTACTCTACCTTCTTATGTTCTGATTGACTTTTCCAATGTTCACTGATGCTTATCTACTTAAAATCGTTTCATCTTATTTATTGTATTTTAAAGCTCATGATGACTGTGTGTTGAAACCAAGCCGTTTTAGTAATGTGGCAAAAGCGATTTTAAAGCTAGCGAATTTTCCAACTGTCACAACAAAGTACAGAAGCGCAGCTGCTTGATATTTTGCAAAATGAAGCTGTTCGCAATTGCTTTCGCTTTTTTATTTTTGTTGAAAAGCTCAAATATCAAACTGAGTGATAAGCAAGTAGAAATTCCCAGTAGTTTAGCGAGACATCAATTGAGTTTTCAGAAAATAGGGTCAACAAGAAAAAATCGTTTTTCGTTAAGCAAACAAAATGTGCTTCTCAACAGTTCACATATGCGTCGTCCATCACATTGCTAAAGTTAGTTAATCTTAATACATTAGACTGGGTCGGTTTTTTAGGGGGGATGGCGGAGAAGAAAAGTCATTTGATCGTATTGTAATATCAATAATATTTTTTGTTAAGGTTTCTGCCCTTCAAAGACATTTTTTTAGAACAAAATTTGTGTTTAAAAGTAAGAATAGAGTGGCTACAACCGCGCTGAGCACGGAAGCACACATACATAAGCCGAAGAAACCCGTGGTGATTCCACTGGCGGACTCAGTTTTTTTCGCATTTGCGCTAGTGCGAGACAGAGATTAGACTCGATGCTCTCCACTACTTCCTTGTCTCTGCCACTACGCCAAAAGTGGTGGGTTGGATAGCTCAGGCTTCCCCGTGCGAGGAGCGGTCCAACCGAGTGATAGCCATAGACCGCTTTACATAAATTTTTGCCCAGATTTGTCTGGTGGTATAGCAGGTATGTAGTTTCCACAACCTGCGTGACATTTACTTTCTCGATGAAGTCAGCCTTTAATCTGTATTTGAAGAAGACTCCCTGCCAGCTGGTCGACTAAGCAGTTGCAAGGAATCGAACATTGTCCGCAGACCCCTACAACACTCACCGATCATTTCGATGCCAGCAGTTTTAGAATCTTTCTGCATTTTATGGCTACTTTGTACATTTTTCCGTTAGATTTTAAAATCGCCTGGCTGACAGAATAATTGGCGATGGACAGTCCTGGAGGGGCGGAGGTTATAAGCCACCGATCGGTCTCCGTTATGGCGTTTAGCTCTGCTTGAGAAACGCTGCATTGGTCCGGTAAGCGCAAATTATTTCCACAAATGAAGTACAATTTTAAATTTAATTTTCCATCCCTGCCTTATATGTATGTATATGTACTTAGAAACACATTTTTACTAGTATAAAACGATTAAAGCAAAATAAAAAATTCCATCTGCGCTAATGTAAATACCCATACATACATTAAGGCGCAGCTGCCTAAATAAGCTACAAGAATGGCTATTCTGTTGATTTTCCATCTTTGAGAAGTGCCATTCAAAAGTGTGTAGGACGCACAGAAGTATCTACATATGTATTTGGTTTAAATTTTCCACATTGTTGAATGTAGCTATAGTACTCGGCCAAAATCGTTTAGGTGATTACAGCAGCGCCAAACAAGAAGAGGGTAGTTGCAACTGTTTTGCAAGTGTTTTGGAAATATTAGACTCGGTACAAATCCTTGGCATACGGGATGTGTGTTCGGGATTGAGAGGTCAAAGTCGCGAAACATATATCTTTTTATTGCCCTCGAATATTTCAAGAAAAATTATTCACTTACGCCGCTTTGAAATATCACTTGTGCGCGGCATTTTCAAGAAACTTGACACTTGCAAAACTACAATTTTTTCGCAAAGTTACAATTTCTTTAAAAAATACTCTAATAATACGCTGCACGCGCTGTAAGAAAAAAAAAAAACAGGGGCCGAAAA